CATTCCCATGCTCACTGTAGTGAGGACACCTCTGGGACGATGTTTTGGGCGACACACTATGGGATACTTTCTCTGAATTTGGCACGAGACCTCGTTTGCCTTGCGAAGAGATGGTGTATTCTACGACCTGTTAACATAAAGTGCAAAAACAGTGTTTAGATCACTTAGAACAGTGGGTTGGAACACAGCCATCCAGTTGCTTCCTACATCAATCTACATCAATCCTACAGCAATCTGTGTTCCCGGATCGGAGCTTCCATTGACGTAGAGGAAATATCTTTTGACTACGTTTCTTCCTTTCCTCGAACAGTCGGAACATTTTGGGATGAGTTATTCTCTGAAATGTGTTCAGGTCATTTAGGGTGATCATCTCTCAGCAGTATAAAAATGGAATCGGTTTTATAAACCTTTCAGCGGACATGTCATCGCTTCACGAACACACCTGATCTCTTTCTCCATGTTCTCACAAAAGATCTACCACCGTTGCCACCCGTCAGAATGACAATTCAAGTACTCCTATTTTATACACAATAATGTAAATGCTTGTATAGTTATCACAGTCCGCACTACGATAGAGAAACAATTAACATTACACACTGCTGTAACCACTTAGTCCTGATTACCCATTTGGTGAATATAATTACTGACTGGGTTCATGTTCGATGTGGTCAGAGTGACCTGCTGCACACAAACACATTCCCTGTTGACTCGAGATCACTCCATCAGGGATGTCTCTTCCATGTGTCTGCATTTGAAGATGTTTGTACTAGTTCAAACCCTGCAAAACACCACCCGACCTTGGTGTTAGGCAGCTCAGCTGTCGTCGAACGGTGCTTAACCTATGTGATTTGCCACTCCAAGTTCCGGGTCGTAGGTTGCCGGCCCGAACAACAGATATTCATGACTATGGCAGCTTACCCTTTCTGCTGTTCATCACGTAAGTGTGTGTGTGTGTATGTAATAAAAAGTGGCATCATTTGTAACGGTTATTTAACTCTCAGGCTCTGTACAATTTGGGCCGAATCGGATCATATTCACCGAGAAGGAATCGTTCAGTATCACTGAGCATTGCACTTAGTCATCTATTAGGCTAAAATTACGTTGCTGCGAACTCCGGAAAGGCGGAGAATTGAAAGAAATTTTGATTGATCTGAAATTTGGCCCAAGTGACGGATGATCAACTAATTGATTGTGTATAAAAGCTCTTACTTGTTTGTTCTCAGTGATCATGGATTATGAGTTTATTCCCGTGACTGATATAAAAGTAGCTCTAATCATGTTCTACTATGTGCTTTGTAATGAGCGCATCCGTTACATACGCATATTTTAGAAGCTATTTCTCTTTAGAATCAAGCTGATTATACTCCTATCCCCCCCGCACCACCGGGGGGGGGGCGCTTTGATCATTGTTCCCGTTCGTACCGCGTTTCTGTCCCCCCTCCCTCCGTCTATTGACTCATCGTGTTGTTTTGTTCACGCGAAAGTTCAAGTTGTGCCGATATCTAATGATAATAAATGAACAACCGTCCACCGTAGTGACCCATTTCAGACAAACAAACAATGATTAGCGTAACAGACATTCTCTGAAGTCGGTCTATTTTGCATAATTCCTCACTGAACCCCCCACCCCCACCCTACGCACATACTGTTTTGTTTTATGCGTTCGCACATTTATTATCGTTCGGTGGTTATTTGTATCAGTCCTGTATTTTGAATATTAGATAATTCCAACTTATGGCACATTTTGATACGGATTGCAAACTTGGATCGGGTTACGTTTTCGTTTCCACATTTTTGTCGTATTCGTTACTCTCGTGATGCTTTCTAGTGTAATTGTTCCCGATTAACCAAACGACAAAAACACTGTGTTCATTTTTCTCATTCGACAAAGATTTTGCATACAATATGAAACTGCTACTGTGTCAGTATGACTGGTTGAGCTCACCGATTCTCGATCACATCCCAACGTACGTATGCAGCCCTACAATCAACTTGGGGACACATCATGGTGCTTCACTGGTGCATCGCATTGCAAATCTATTTCTAATCACTCGATTTTTGTTTTCTCAATTATGATCGCTATCTGTTGCGACCGAAATCTGTCCACCGCTGTGCACCCATTCACGATATAATTTTGTCTTAATCCGCCCTCGATGGGCAACTTCACTACTCGACACCACACCAGTGTTATGTGGTCCGACATTAAGTCCCGGGTTACCATTTATCTTATGGGAACAGCTGGTCCTCGTGATCATGCGGTTTACCTCTTTTGCCATTCATCACACTTAGGGGTGTGTAATGTCATCC